GCGATCTTTAAAGATCATGCCAATTTGTACATAAGATTCGTTTTTTCGTCCCATCCGAACGATTATACCAAAAACAAACTGGCAACTAAATTTTTTAATTAAATCAGACACATTACATGTTAGCTCTGTCTGTCTTTCTGTTGGCATTGCCAGATTTAGTTGAAGCCCCTCCCCATCCTCACGACAACAGGAAGATCAAAGTGACTATTAAACACTATTGAAGATATTGACGAATGTTTAGTTGATGCCCCCCCCCCCTCCTCCCATACCTCATCTTGGCCCGATGACCCCCCCCCCCCCAATCATGGCCCGATGAGCCCCCACACCACCCTCCACTCACCCATATCTTGGCCCGATGACCCTCATATCTTGAGACCCTCCTAGGTTTCATCCTGTCAAGCCCACAGGTCAATCTAGCACTGTCTGTTTGTTAGCGAGAGAGAGAGAGAGGGTGAGAGAGGGGGAGACAGAGACAGAGTGTATATTCCCATGCTCCTGTACACTATGTGCCGATACAGTGTCCAGAGATGTACGACAATTTAATCTATATGACAGTTTCAGCTCTTAAGAAACATTCCTATCGGAGATAAAGCTCAAGTACCACTCTTAACATTTACACATTTTAAATCAGTGTAATAAACAGTGTTTAGCGCAATAGTAGAGTTGTCACTCTGCTTTATGCGCCACATTTTACATGGCATGAGCCTTGTTTCCCGGGGTGTGAAATTTCAGGCATCGGGTCAATGCCGACGTCTGATTGATTGGTTGATTGGAATTCGGGTGGACATGATAAAGACGGGCATGCGCCATACAGTGTACTATGAGGGACATTTTGCAGTCTTCACGTTGTCGGGCACGTAAAAGAATCCATGGCAACTGGAATTCGAAATAAAAGAAGGCCCCTCATTGCAGTCGGTGGTGATTAGTAAGACGTTAAATGTTGTCGGACACGTAAAAGAACCCATGACAGCCACGGTTGCTCAGTGGGTAGGACGTCGGCTCGCTAACCTGGAGGTCTCATATCGTTGGCCAAGAAAGTTCATCGTTTTTTTTCCGGCATATTTCCTCCTTGTCAGTGGTACGGCCACGGGGCAACATGTGTAGGCGTTCGGATAGGACGACTATACGGGGACCCGTAGACACATTGGCGGGGACCTTAAAAAAACCTTAACAATTGGAATTCGAAATAAGAGTCAGCTCCGCTATCCGGGCAAAATTTCACTTATAACACACTGTTTGTCGTATATTCCCGTCTTCATTAGCCCAGTCGGTGCAGAACAGTAGGACGTTAAACCTTATTTCATATCATTTCACTTGTCTACCTTCAACTTCACCAACTCGAGTGGATGTGTTATCATAAACTAGTTTAGAATTATAAGCGGGTGTATTTGAGGGGGGGGGGGGGGCTCTATACTAATTTTGGCTTTTTAACATGTTTTTTTTATGTGTCAGAGTCTTATATAGCAGCTGTATAGTTTCTTACAGTTCATATCAGATATATATTGCTAGCTGTGTTATATAACGTGACATGACGACATCAGTACAACTTGTATGGTGGGTTATACAAGGATAGCTAGTAAGACAGAGCAATAATCTGTTAGTGATATCTACTAATTGGATAGACTAACATGCTATTACCCATGCTTAAGGTAAACAGCTACCATATTTTGGCTTGTTTTACTAATTGGATAGACTAAACCAGTATTAACCATGCTTATGGTTAATAGGTACCATATTTAGGCGACATTTCGAAGAATATTTTATATAAGAAGAACAATTCCTGATAATTACTTAACCCTTGGTACAATCTTGTAATCTCACCAATATATAGAGACTTTGCTTCACTTTTTTACATAACGATTCACAATGCAATGCACAGGGGAGAATTTAGTCCGTACAATGGCGTTTCTACCCAAATAAGTCAGCTATTAATTTAAAGTAGGTATTAATACAAATTTGTGATCAGATTTGTAACCCTCTATCCTATCTTCTAGTGAGAGGTGGTTGGGTTGCCTAATGGTTAATGCGTGCGCGTGGCATCATAAGGTCTCTCATTGAGTGAAGTGGCGTGGTTTCGATTCCCTGCTTGTTCATGACAATGAGTAGGATCGCCTGTCCAACCTCTTGGGTTTTCCCTGGGTCCACCGGTTTCCTCCCACTGGTGTACCTTTAACAGTAAACTGCTACCTCTATATTAACGGCGCACAGGTTTTTTTCTTATTGCATTAATGTAAGTTAACAGACTTCAAGATCAAGAACTGTTTTAAAAATGGTAACTACACGTTTTTCCTAACAAAGTGGAAAACAGGCTGGAAATTGTTCAACTTTCTCAGTCAAAGCCGGTGTCGAACAAGAATGGGTTGGAATGCCTGTTTTCAGTAACTTGTTTTGTTTCCCTTGACCTGTTGGTTACTACCAGTGCTTCATAATAAAACAACAATACAAAGAGTTTACAATTATTATTCTAATATGGAAAGATATTATACACGTATTTTAGCTCCATCTGGAATCATTTTTTATTATAATATGGAATGATATTATACATGTATTAAAGTTCCATCTGAAAAAAACTATCAACTACTTCTTCCAGCGATTGACCATAATTTATTCCATTTCGGATAGAAATAATGTTATCTCCCTTACACCGTAAACAAAACATTATTTAACAATAATTCAGCCATAACAGTAGTCTAATTATTAACGTCTTTTAATGTCAGTTATGTCATTAATTGTTACTTGAATTGTAAAGTTTCTATGATCATCAATAAATCCACTGCCAGGATTACTGAGTCTCTTCCAGTCAATAATAGGAGTAACATAAGTACTACCACCAGGTACAACAGTCCAATTACATTGTTTAACTACAGATTGTCTATCATCTGTTTTATTTATAAGTTTATATGTGACGTCAACTTTACATGACGTAATACTTTTATCTTCTACGTCATTCAGGTTTAATACAAAAGAGAATAAAGATGATCCTAGTTTATCCACACCAATACGCCATGTAAAACCTGAAACTACATGTCGTTTACCATACACACCACCATAACCTGGCACAGTATCCACATTAAAAACAACTTCAAACATATTCTGATGACAACTTACAACTTTACCAATCATATTCTGATGACAACTTACAATTTTACCAAGTTGATTAGTTAACAAAGTTTTATCTATCTCTGCTACTTGAAATGTTGAATATCTTACATCAGGTATATCCAATTTTCTACAACAACTTTCATCTTTTTCCTGTCTAACTTTAGGTATTCTTTGTAAAACTTGAACAACGGATGAATCTTCTAAAACATTCACTGAATATTTAACACTAGCTTTTAAATCTTCTGTTAGTCTTTTAATGTCCTCCATTAATTTCCTGAATTTGGATTCTTCCTCTTCACCAGTTTTCTGCATTTCCTTTTTAATATTTTCTCCGATTTTGTGAAATTCTGAGCAGATTTTCTCAACCTGCGCATCTACTTTGTCACATTCAGTTTTTGTGCAGTTTTTGACTTCAATTAATTTACTATTTAAATTATCATAATGTTTCTGAAAATTAGTGATTTGTTTTTCTAATTCATCATTCATTGATTTTAAATCGTGTCTGATACTTTGTCTGACTTCATCCTCCTGTAAATCTAAACATTTATGTCCATTATGATCGGCCACGAAACATTTCCAACAAACGGCTACAGTACAATCTTTACAGTATACGTTTACGGTCTCCTTTTCATGGCGCAGACAGAAATCTTTAGGATTTGTGATAGACGAAGCCGAAGCTTTTTCCTTTATTGTTTCGTGTGAAGTAGGCGCTTGATAGATCTGTGTTTCATCATATCGAGACACAACGTGGTCTTTACAAGATTTTAACTTATCATGCGTGGTTTTACATGATTTACATAAATATTGATCACAGTCTCGACAGAAATATTGAGATGTATCTTCCGTACATACATCACATTGAGGAATATTAATTGGTTTAGGTTTAAATCGATCCAGACCTCCGTCACTGAGATTTATAAAAAAATACGGCATAATGGGCATTGGAACTGATCTTTAGTGGAGGTTTTGTTCACATAATCTTCTAAACAGATAAAACAAAAGGGGTGTGCACAATCGAGTACCACGCGTTGTTGAAATTCGTTCAAACAAATACTACACACTTCCTTCTCTGCCATTTTAAATAACTGTTTGTTGCACTGGTTGTATAAACTGGACAAAACAACAACAAACAATTAGGCTAAATATAATATATACGATATCCTAGAAATCAAAACTGCTAAATTTAGCCAAATCGTCTAACCTCGCCTGACATCTTCTCGAGCAGTTTATCTTCCTTGGACTGTACACTGAACATGCATAAACTTGATATAGTTTCTTAGAAACGTCTAAGTCACATAATTGTAGACAATACGAGTTCAAACTGGATGAAAATACAAAATCAAACAATATAATACTTGATATCGAGATAGATGAACTAAAAATCAAAAGTATTAAATTCAAACAAAACATGTAAATCACATAGAAATTCACGTCTTTCTTCGTCTTTCGCAGTTTGTTCTTCTTATGCTGTAGACTGAACATACGTAAACTTGCTACAGTTTCTTGGAAATTCTATTTTTATTTTCTTTTTAATATAATGACCTTCGACATTAGCCTTTGTCACCCAGGCTATAACTGTTGTATATCTACTACCACTGATATTGTTAGCGTGTGGGTAACAGAGGCTACCACTGTCACGCTATATGCTGTAGACTGAACATGCGTAAACTTGCCACAGTTTCTCGGAAATTCTATTTTTATTTTCGTATTGATATAATGACCTTCGACATTAGCCTTTGTCACCCAGACTATCACTGTGTGTATCAACTACCACGGATATTGTTAGTGTGGGTAACAGAGTCTACCACTAGCACGCCATGTCATGTTGACACTATATTTAGCGGTGTACGTCTATAATACCATCGTCTTACACAATGTATCTTCCTCGGACTAGACTGTACAAGCGTAAATTTGCTATAGTTTCTCGGAAATTCTATCGAAAACGTCTAAATCACATAGAAATCCACGTCTTTCATCGTCTTGCACAGTTTGTCTTTCTTATGCCGTAGACTGAACATGCGTAAACTTGCTGCAGTTTCTCGGAAATTCTATTTTCGTTTTGATATAATGACCTTCGACATTTGCCTTTGTCACCCAGACGATAACGGTGTACGTCAACTACCACTGATATTGTTAGAGTAGGTAATAGAGGCTATCGCTATCACGGTAGGTCATATTGACACTATATCTAGCGGTGTACGTCTATAATATTATGAATGTATGTTATGTATGTCAAGTACAAGTGATATTGTTAGCGTGGGTAACAGAGGCTACCACTATCACGCTATATCATATTGACACTATATCTAGCGGTCTACGTCCATAATTATAATATTATGACTATATGTAGTATGAAAGTAGGTCAACTTATAGTGAGATATATTATAATGCTTATACGTTTACACAGCTATACTTTCACGTGTTTCTCTGTATGTCTCCAACTTGGTATCTTCAACAATGTAGTAATCATCAACTAGTTAATAAACCTCTAGATATAATATACACGACTGGGTACACATGGCGATATATCCCTGCTTAGAAAGTTCATCGGGACTCTCCGATTTTAGTACCATGCCCCATCCCAACGAGTAGACGGTGTTCCTGTAGGACTGACAGAGGGAAATCAAGCCGGAAAATCCAGAATAGGTTTCTCAACTAACACTGGGATCAAACCCATAACCCCCTGGTTAACGAACGAGTGTCTTACTTACTGAGCCACCGCGACTCGCTTGATAATATAATACTTTGGAGGGTCCAAAAATCCGAGGTTCCGTGTACACATTGGCGTGTACGTAAAGATTCCTTGACAGTTGGAATTCGATATAAGAGGTCCACCCGTGTATACATTGGCGTGCTCTTAAAAGAAATTCGATGAAATGCCCATGACCCGACAAGATTCTTCTCTTTAGTATCACACCCTTGACAACAGAAAAAAGCGGGCGTGGTTCTCCCTTGTCAGTGATGCAGGACGGAGGGGCTGACAAGGAAAGCTGTCTAGTCGTTCGGATGGGACGAAAAACCGAGGTCCCGTGTACACATTGGCGTGCACGTAAAAGATCCCTTAACAGTTGGAATTCGATATAAGAGTAGGCCTTAGTGCCGCTGTCCGGGCAAAATTTCCCTCATAGCACACTGTATGGCGTATGCCCGTCTTCATTAGCCCAGGTTAGGAGCAGAACAGTAGGACGTTAAACCCCATTTCATTTCATTTCATTTCAGAAAAAAGCGGGAGTAGTGTGTTGTGTTTTTTGTGGTTATCAGTAATATCAAGATAGGCCAAAATTGATACCGGATACTAGGCGGACATTTTTTTTTATATTCTTACGGTGGAAAGAGCGATTACTTCCTAATGTCAAAATAAATTATTATTTCCATAATTATGTGCTGTGGTTTATTGTTTAAAATAAACTTATTTTATTACAACTGTTGGTGCGGGGGGGGGGGGGGGTTTGAGAACAAACAAATAATCAGTATTTTACAATGGAGAGGGAGAAGATAGGGTTAAACGTTCACTCGAAACAAACTAGGTAATTTCGGGACTAACATATACAGTGTATTTCAATTTTTTCAATAATACGCTTGCACGTAGGGCTGGGACCGGGGGACAAGGAGATAACCCAAGAGGCTGGACAGGCGACCCTACTCCTTGTCACATACAACCGGGGAATCGAAACCACGCCAGTTGACTCAATGACAGATCTTATGAAACACCCAGGGCTGGATTGGGCCATCGGCCGGTCAGACAAAAAATGAAAAAAATAATTTGGTGCAATTCGTCTAAAAAACCTTTTTCTTCTGAACATTATATGGGGGGGGGGGGTGTATTGAACCGGTCATGCAGCGATGATGATCATGTTGTATGTGGCCGGTAGCTTTAACGGGCCACCACCCCATCACTGGAGTTTGGAATGGGCTGGTATAATAGACTTTCTGGGCCGGGTGTGCTGGGTGTGGGCCGGAATTCGAATCCGAAAATTTCACCGGATTCATCAGACACTTTCACCGGCAAATTTACTAATTATTAAGTCCCCTGCACCCTGTTTCTGGGGATACGTCAGAAACGTGGATACAACACGCACGCGCTAACCATTCGGCCATCCAACACCCTATTTTACAGTGGGTAGCGACTAATAAAACATAATTAAGGTGAAAGAGAGAAATGGGGTTTAACGTCCACTCGACACAAACTAGGTCATTTCGGGACTAACAGATGGTTCAATTTTATTTTAATCATTCGCTTGTGCGTAGGGGTCTTTAGCAGTGGGAGAAAACCGGGGGACCCGGAGTAAAGCTACGAGGTTGGACAGGCGACCCTACTCCTTGTCACGTACAACCGGGGAATCGAAACCCCGCCAGTTCACTCAATGACAGGCCGTATGGTACAGCGCGCGTGCTAACCATTCGGCCATCCAACCCCCCCATAATTAAGGTAGAGAAAATTAAAAGAAGGTATAACAGCTGTTTTGATGTAACATCATTTACAGTTAAATATTACTTTAAATTGCGTTTTAGAGTTCGAATCACGCAATGGGCCCGAGAAGAACTCGTTCTCGCTTTTCAGGGTGGCCCCGGCGGAATTGACAAAGGAAATGTGCCTAATCCATCGGATAGGGTAAAAAGCGGCATTCCAGGCAAAGTTCACCATCGTATTGCACGCCTGGCGATTGAAAAGAAAAATACATTAATTAGTCTTAAATTGAGGAGACGTTAAACCCCATTCTAGTATTATATATATTGGGTGTGACTGTGATAAATACGGGGTTAAATGTACTGTCATGAACTGGCGTGGTTCCCCCGTTTTCCATTGTGCAGGACTTTGGGCCTGGCAATAGATAACACCTAGTTGTTCCGACAGTTCTTGTCTACTCAGGCGTGCAGGTATTGGAATTCCGTGTAAGAGTAAGCTGTCGCGCCGCTCTCCAAGACAAGATTATTTATATATAATTATATATCAATAGGTGATGTATTTTTATTATATATTCTCACCTGGTACAATAATTGATTGTTTTATAAACTTGGACGACATTAGTCACCCTATCTATTTTACTATAAAACTGCAACAATGCAGGATAAATGGATATGGATCATCCTGTCAAGGTTTGTAAATTTGTGTAACGAAACAGCTGACCGACAGCCGACAACTCTATACGCCTATATTACGCGTGGGTGTATATAGAAAAATTGCAAATAGAAAAAAAAGTGAGGAGTCCTTCCGTATTCGTGACTGAGACATTCTCCTATTGAACACCAAAACCAAATTTAAATAAAAGAAAGATGGTCAAATTCACGCTGATATGGATTTTAGCAAATTTCATGAAATTCGGGCAATAACTCAGCCCTGTATATAGCTTTGATACGTTTTATGTGAAATCAAGGGCTATAACTCTAAGCATGTTCATAATTATGATGTCAGTAATTAGTAATTAGTAATTCTTTCCCCAGGTGATTTTAATGTTAAATCTATGACATGCCTTGGCCTATAACATTTTTTCTAATATGCCCCGACCGGGCGTATTGAATTACACAATAACACCCAATTAATAATACCCAATAATTCCAACTGCCAAGGCATACGTGCATGCCAATGTATACACGAGACCTCGGTTTTTCGTCCCATCCGAACGACTAGATAGCTGTCCTTGGCAGGCCCTCCGTCCTGCACCACTGACAAAGGTAAACCACATCGGAAAATCCAGATGAACCGCGACCTCCATGCTTACAAGCCAACGTCTTACTCACTTAGTAAGCTAGCACCCTTTGGCTCCCTGTTTAGAACGGAATTAGGTTAATGTCTCGATCTGCCACTTTAAGCGATTGGAATCACTTGTAAACTACAGCAAACTACTGTTCTGATCCCACTGTGCTAACGAAAACGGGCATACGCCATACAGTGTGCTATGAGGGACACTTAGAGCGGACAGCGGCGCTGCGGCCTACTCTCAAGGAATCTTCAACGTGCACGCCACATACACGAGACTTCGGTTTTTTGTCCCATCCGAGCCATTTCGTCCCTGGTTAATTAGTATTTTGTATTATTTGATTTTTTAGGTTAATAGATGATCCAGTGCCCGCAGATGATACGTGTACAACAAAATTTACAATAAAATTTAATATAAAGTGTACAATAAAATTTCAATACATAACAATTTCACAAATATAACAAATTCAATGATTCTCTGTGGCAACAATTCCATGGCGATTCTTCCCCACACGGATATCCCGCCTGAAAAATCCTTCGTTAATGCTTTTTTGTTGTAACTGAAAAAATAAATATTTGATTGTTAATATATTTTAGTGTACAATTTACTTTGTTGTTTATTAATAAACGGGCCCGCTCTAGCGTGGAGATGTTCCGAAATGATAAAGCGAATGTGTCCCGAAAGTAAACTATGTCGTGTGGACGACTTAACCAACGTATTTGGGCACACAATTGTACTTTGTAAAAATTGTATAAAAAAAATATTGTGTTCTTGAATGTGTCCAATTTAACAGCGAATTTATTATTATTATGTAACATACTAAGAACCTAACTACATTTTTTGGGCACCAACCACCACCGCCCGCCCCCCCCCCCCCCCAGTCAAAAATTTCCCCGTACGCCTATGTGGACGACTGCACCAACGAGTGTGGACGACTTCACCAGATTTTTCGTGTGGACGACTTTGCTCGTGGACGACTTAACTGATATTCCTCTTGCCATGCCTTCGAACCTGCACCTGCTTCTTTTTTTTCTTTTGAACATACAATTATTTCGGTGGGTGCATGGGTATTTTGTTTATACGACACAGTATGAAAGTGCCATTTAACGAAAACGAAAGATGATTAAGATGCCAAGTTATGGCAACTTAAAAGTAAATAGCACGATCTGCTTAGTCACATAATAGAGTAATTAATTTAGAAGCTTCACACAGAACGATAATTTGCCTTACACCAGAGAATTTAGTAAGGCAGAGTAGGGTGAAGCTTGGTGATTTTATTTATATTTTCTTTTCTTTTCTTTTTGTATAGAATTGGTATATCAGATGGTTGGAGATGTTGTTGATATAGGGATGCATTCTGTTGGACCATATGATCCAGAGGTAGAGATACATGATATGGAAGTATTTTGTGGAATGTATATTGTTTATATGTGTAGTATCAAAGGATTTAAAGTGCTGTAATTTAGGGCAGTGTAGAAATAAGTGACTGTAGGTTTCATTATTTTTCTTGCAGTATTGACATTTATAGTCATCTACGTAAATATTTCGAGTGTGGAGAATATCTTTTGTGGGAAATGCATTGTGTATTATTTTGTGCATAAATTCTTTTTCTATTTCAGATAGTGTTGGACATTTATATAAATTATGCCAAACTTTTTCAAAATTTATATGAGGTAGGTGTTTGTTTATTTTTGGTTGTACGTTCTTACTATCAATGAGTGACCAGTACAAGTACAGACTTTTTCTTTAATCGATAGGTTGTAAGTAGACCAGTGACTAATAGTTGATTTAATCGTCATGATGAGGGGTAACCATATTTTTTTCCATTTTATTGATCTCAAAACAAAAGCCCAGTAATTTAATTGTGTCTGTTTTAATGTTTATGTTTATATTTTCAGGAAATGAGTCATGGGATGGTTTACGAACACCAACATGGTGGATTTCGGTTTTATCTTAATTTAGTTGAGAGCTATATACGGAGCCAACATTTATACGTAAGGAATAAAGAATCGTGGACAACCTTGACGGATCGAACGATTATTTTTGATATTTTGAGAGAAGGATCCATTTACTTGAACTTTACTTTTCAAATTTTTAAACAGTATTGTAACCCAATTTACAATGTCATTTGGAAAATTCATATGTTTTAGTAGGGTTTTTATATAATTGTGTTCAATACGGTCAAAGGCTTTTTTCCTAATCAAACGATAAGATATAGGCATTAGTTTCATGTGTGTCTAAATAATTTAGGATTGAATCAATTAAATACAGGTTATCGAAGGTGCTTTTATTTGGTCCGGCTCCCGTTTGTGTTTTAGAGATCAATTTGTTAATAACTGTGTTCATTCATATACTTAATATTTTTGTGATGATTTTATAGTCGACACATAACAGGCTTATTGGTCTATAGTTCTTAAGTAATCGGTGGTCGCCTCTATTCTTATAGACAAACAATTTATTCTTATAATTAATTATTATTATACCGGTTCTCATTGGGTTAGATAATTCACCCTGTTGATAGATGTTGTTTATTACTTCTGTCAGGTCGGTTCCTATGGTGTCAAAGAATTTGATATAGAAATCTCCTGGAATACCGTCGATGCCTGGGCTACGGTTTGATCTGAAACTTTGTAAGGCCTTAAGATCTTCATCTTTAGATATGAAATGAGACAGGGAATCTCTTTCCGTGTTAGTTAGAGTATTTATGTTACTGTTTTCAATATAGGAGTTTATTAGGTTTTCGTCAATGTATATAGTTGTTGGTAATATTGGTGAATTGTGTCTAGAATATCTTGTTCATTATCAAATACTGTATTATTTTGATTGATTAATTGTTTAATTTGCTTTTTAGCACCGTTTTTGACCTCAGCTAATTTATATATTTTAGAATATCGTAACCTTGTATTGTATTTTGTTCTATTATTTCGATTTTTGTTTGAATTTCATGCATTGAGTTAGTATTCATAGGTAGTATGGAAGTAGATCAACTTATAGTGTGATATATATTGAGACTATATTTATGTTATATATATGAATGCATATCTAGCACTATGCATATCTAGCGGTGTATTATGAATGTATGTTATATTAAAGGACGACGGATATTGTTAGTGTTGGTGACACGGGCTACTCCTAGATCTATCTTTATAATAGTATTAACATGTCACGTTTAGATTATATTTAGAGAGAAAGATAGATAGATATGGGGTTAAGTGGAGGGAAACCGCAGTTCAGGACCCGGAAAAACCCACGAGATTCGTTGACACGTATATGCGGGGAACCTACTCCATGCAGATTGACTCTATGTATATGATAGACCAGGAAAAAACCCACGAGGGTGGACAGGCTACCCTATTCTGTGTCACGTACATGCGGGGAACCGAGTCCACGCCAATTGACTCTATGATAGACGTTACTCACTGAGCCATCGCGACTCCCTTGATAATATAATACTTGACATAATACCAAGGTTAATTTACGTCCGCTTCCATTGAGTTGATACCGTAGACAATAAATCAATGTCTAAGTATTCTGATAATAACATATTGATGTCAGGGAATTAAGTTCGATTCTCGAGAAGAACCTTGAGGTTTGTCAAGCCTGAGTTTCACCTGTCAGGGGTATAACGTCCATTGGGCTGACTAGTCCTTCGGATGGTTCCTACGTGTATACATTGGCGTGCACGTAAAATACATTCGATGAAACGCCGCTGTCAGGGCAAAATTCTTCTCATTAGCATAACATCCCTTAATAACAGAATAAAAAGCCGGTAGTATTGTGTTGTGTTAACGAAATGTTAAATTACATTCCTATTTTATTTTGTGGTTATATGACTAAAACGTCAGTTATATCAAGATAAGCCAGAATATTTTAAAGATACTTCACCGTATACAAACCGTTCGATCAAGAAATAACAACCTCTCCCTCAGTTAAACTAGCATACAATAAGCCGTCGTGTTGGCTCCCTCAGTTAAACTAGCATACAATGAGCCGTCGGGTTGGCAGTTAGTGATACCCTGGCATTTTTGTACAGTTCCTGTTTTTCGCGTAATCCAGTATTTTTCTAGTAAGATTGGGCGTCTAAGCTTTTCATATATATCATGTCATACTTTTACTGGGAATAACCACCTGATAAATATATTTGTGACAATGTATCTTTAATATCCATGTGGTTGAAGCGGATATTTAGTTGAGAGATTAATTCTCCAAATATTGCGGGAGGTTGCGTGACCGAAAGGTTAACGCATGCGCGTTGGATCATAAGGTCTGCAATGAGTCAAGTGGTGTGGTTTCGATTCCCCGCTTGTACGGGACAAGAAGTAGGGCCCATCCTCTTAATTTTGCTCCCACTTCTAAAGACCCATACGCATAAGCGAATCATTTACATAAAATTGAAAAATATGTTAATAACGAAACTCTCTCTCTCTCTCTCTCTCTTTCTCTCTCTCTTATTAAGGTGAATAATTTCTGTACATGTTAACTATTACCTACATCCTATATTATTTATATTATATGAACTATTATAGATGGCCAATTACTACTAAACCAAGCATATCATAGTATGATGTACTATTAATATTATATGAACTATAATAGATGGCCAATTAATACTAAACCCAGCATATCATTGGTTTATAGTGGAGAATAATTAACATCAAAGTTTACTGTATTACAAGATATGATGGGAATTATTAATGTCTATAATCAGTATATTTCAAGTGAAATGAAATGAAATGGATTTTAACGTCCTACTGTTCAGCTCAGACTGGGCTAATGCAGTGTGCTATGAGATAAATTTTGTTCGGACAGAGGCTCTACGGCCTACTCTTATTTCCAATTCCAACTCTCAAGGGTTCTTTTATGTGCATGCCAATATGTACAATGGACCTCACCTTGGTGTTTCATCCCATCCAAAGGACTATACGTTGTCCTACATCACTGACAGGTTAGCGAGTTAACGTCTTACTCACTGAGCCACCGTGGCTCCCATGTGGAATGAATCAGAATTGTAACAAAGGTTAACCTAAGCTATATTGTACAAGTGATGTAATTATTTATAATGGGTATAACGAACATCTATTCAAGTGAAATGAATCAACATTAAAACACCTGCTATCATTAGACGAGTAATATAGTATTTTATGACTAAACGAAGTGTCATAACATATAATTGATTGATCAATAGTAGAGGTCTAATAATATTGTAATGATATAATACATGATATACTAATGATATTGTAATTATATCAGTCAGCTATATAATACATGATATACTAATGATATTTATTTTAGCTTGTAATATATTTATTCACAGAATATAATTATACATTATAATATTTACAGTATTTTATAATTTCCACACCTTTAATTTATTTTTTTACTTATTCCCTGTTACTATATAAAACACACACAGGCAAAGTATTCGCTGTTACTATATAAGACACACACGGGCAAAGTATTCCCTGTTACTACATGTATATATGACACACAGGCAAAGTAAAATACAATAATATACAATAATTAAAACAAATATTTTTGATTATTTATAATATGTATAGTCTAATAGTTGAGTAGATATAAAAGAGTGAACAGTAAAATTATTTATAATGTGTATAGTGTAAGAGTTGAGTATGTATAAAAGAGTAAAAAGTAAAATATGATATATATAAATAAAATCATTGCCTGTATTTTGCACACCTATATACAATAGAGCGATACAGATTTTAAGTACATTTAGTGTCAATGAGAAAACCTGGTTTTAAATACTAATTATAAATTTCCATGTTTCAATTATTGCAATATTTGATGACTTTATAATTCAGAGGTGGCTGAGAATATCTTGTGAAAAGGTTTACAATAACCAATTTCCATGGTAATTTTTTGAGATGACTGGATGAGCACGACTAATATGATTTGTATAGTTTAGAAAGAGCTGCATAGTAGGGGCTTGTATCACTGACAAACATTGGGTGTTTATGTTAGGGGTTAAAAGAATATCTTGTGAAAAGGTTTACAATAGCCAATTTCAATGTTAATTTTTTGAGATGACTTGATGAGCAAGACTAAAATGATTTGTATAGTTTAGATAGTGCTGGATAATAGGGACTTGTATCACTGGTGTTTATGTTGGGGGTTAAAAGATGGGTCGAATGCTGGCAGACGGCAATTCGTCTGCTATTCTAGAGAGATATTTTCATAAACGATTTAAGTTGTCAATTATATCATCATTAAGGGTATCTAATTTAGTAACTTTAGATGTTATATTTAGGATTGAGTTTGTTTATTGTGATTTCTAAGTATGACAATTATCTTTTAGGCTTATTTCAAATCTAAAGTTATTTCTTAAACAAAGTAGATTTGTTCTATATTTGATTGAAATAGATGAATGACTTCGAAGCTCTTCGAAGGGGATCACGGTGGCTAGGTGGGTAAGACGCTGGCTCGCTAGTCTGGAGGTCGGTTTTCGATCCCTGCATTGGTAGAGAAAGTTCATCCAGATTGTCCGGTGTGGTTCTCCTTTGAGAGTGATGCAGGACAGAGGGCCTGACAAGCACAGCTGTCTAGTCATTGGCGTGCACGTAAAAGATCCCTTGACAGTTGGAATTCTATATGAAAAAAGACCGTAGTGCCGCTGTCTGGGCAATATTTTCCTCATATCACACTGTATGGCGCATGCCCGTCTTCATTAGTCAAGTTCGGATTTATGTCCACTCGAAACAAACTTGGTCATTTCGGGACTAACATATGATTCAATTTTATTTCCATAATCTCCATAAAGGGGTCTTTAGCTGTGGGAGGAACGTATCTTACGATATGATAAATGAAATGGGGTTTAACGCCCTACTGCTTCGACTGAGCAAATGAAAACGGCCATACGCCATGCAGAGTGCTATGAGGGAAATGTAACCTGGACAGCAGCGCTACGGCCTATTCTAATATCGAATTCCAACTGCCAAGGGATCTTTAAAGAGCATGCCAATTTGTACATGGGACTCGTTTTTTTCGTCCCATCCGAACGTCTATACGTTGATGTCCGTGATTTGTTAAGAGCTCTATCTAATATTTATCAATGGAAAGCCTCGTGTTTACCGAGAGTCTGATAAAAAAAATAAGCTTCCTATGGACAAGGAACTGAATCACCATATCCATGAAGCTACCTCGTTATTCGTTACTCAACTTTATATTCGGGATCCCAATATGCAACTAGCCGTGACTAGAATGGATGGGTGCCAAGTATCCCCCAGTAGTATAAAACTGGGCCTTAGGGTTCTTCGAAGAGCGCCACCCCAGTTACTGGTCCAAGTTCTCATAAAAACGTCCAGTCGTTCGCAAATTCTTGAAATTTGGACATGATGAAGAGTCCGTGCAAAAATTCAATCATGGCTTATGCCCGTCGCCATTAAATCGATTACTGCCGAAAAGAAGGGAGCTAACTGTTCTATTTAATTTTTGCATTTGAAGGAAAGTGAACTAACTATATCATAAATTTACCACCCATACAGGGTTCGATATCACATTTGTACCTGACAAAGGTTTACCTGTTCAATCTTTTGGGTTTCATCCGGAAATGAAATCGGGTTTAAAGAGACCATCCCGATTTTAACAAAGTCTCCGAAATAAAAGTCTGTGTTTGTATGCAATGTATGTACCGTGTCTCGCGATATTGAGTCGTTTGGACGTGAACGTCAAAACCGCTTATCCGGACGCGTCCTACTGTTCTGCTACAACTGGACTAATGACGACGGGCATACGCCATTTGGTGCTACGGCCTACTCTAGTATCGATCGAATTCCAACTGCCAAGGGTCTTTTACGTGCACGCCAATGAGTTCACGGGACATTGGACAACACCGGGATCAAACCCGCTACATCCATGCGAGCCAGCGTCTTTCTCACTTAGCCACTGTGGCTCCCCGGTTTTCATACGAATCTTCCGTTTCTAGTTTTCCCCCCCAAAAAATCCAAAACAAACTGGCAACTAAATTTTTGAATTAAATCAGACACATTACATGTTAGCTCTGTCTGTCTTTCTGTTGGCATTGCCAGGTTTAGATGAAGCCCCCCTCCCCACCCCCACCCTCACGACAACAGGAAGATCAAAGTGTCTGTTAAACACTATTGAGGATAGTGTCGAATGTTTAAGACTAGAGTTAAAATATTATACACCATGGCCCGATGCCCCGCCCCCCGTCCAACCTCTTGGCCCGATGACCCCCGACCCCTATCATGGCCCGATGAGCCTTCCCACCCTCCACTCACCCATATCGAGCCGATGACCCTCATATCTTGAGACCCTCGTAGGTTTCAGCCTGCCAAGCCCACATGTGAATCTAGCACTGTCTGTTTGTTAACCAGAGAGAGAGAGAGAGAGAGAGAGAGAGTATATTCCCATGCTCCTGTACACTATGTGTTGATGTGTTGATGCAATGTCGAGAGATTTACCACAATTTAATTTATATGACATTTTCAGCTCTTAAGAAACATTCCTTTCGGAGATAAAGCTCAAGTACCACACTTAACATTTAAAATAAAAAAATATAACAACTCTTCCAGATCCTAGTGTAGTAAAGACAAGTAAAACAAAATTTTGAACTATAAAAAATGAAACGAAATAGGATCTGTCTTTTAAGTGGATTGTGTGTGACACTTTCAGATATCCACCATTTTGTTTATTATCAAGTTTTCGGGAATCCAAATTATTTAAAATTGATCTATGGGTACAAATCTTAAATCAGTAAAATACACAGTGTTTAAAGCCATTGTAGACTTGTCACTCTGCTTTATGCGCCACATTTTATTGGGCATGAGCTTTGTTTCCCGGGATGTGAAATTTCTGGTGTCAGGTCAATGCCAACGTCTGATTGATTGGTTGATTGGAATTCGGGTGGAAATAACATGGGATTTCGGTTGCAAAACCAAAGGATTTTTTTTTTTCGGGTTCATCATTTCTGCCCCTCCCACTCATCCGGCTCATAAACCTACACAAAATGTCGCGTTTCGTTTTATTTTGGAATGAGTCATAAAGTAAGAGGGGACTGGTTGACTGAGGGTATAGTATAGTCTCAATTTACCGGTGGAAAAACTCAAAAAAAGTCGCGATCAAAATCTCCAGCTCAATATTTAGAAAAGAAATGAAATGAAATGGGGTTTAACGTCCTACTTTTCTTCTCCGACTGGGCTGATAAAGACGGGCATGCGCCATACAGTGTACTATGAGGGACATTTTGCAGTCTTCACGTTGTCGGGCACGTAAAAGAATCCATGGCAACTGGAATTCGAAATAAAAGTAGGCCCCTCATTGCAGTCGGTGGTGATAAGTAAGACGTTAAATTTCATTTCATTTCACTTTGTCAAGTTTCAAAAGGACACCACGGTTGTTCAGTTGGTAGGACGTTGTCTTGGTTACCTGGAGGTCTCATTATTGTTGACCGAGAAAGTTCATCGTTTTTTTCCGACGTATTTCCTCCTTGTCAGTGGTACAGACAAGTGGCAACGTATAGTCGTTCTGATTGGACGACTATCCGAGGACCCGTGTACACATTGGCGGGGACCTTAAAGAAACCTTGACAATTGGAATTCGAAATAAGTGTCAACTCCGCTGTACGGGCAAAATTTCACTTATAACACACTGTTTGTCGTATATCCCCATCTTCATTATCCCAGTCGGTGCAGAACAGTAGGACGTTAAACCTTATTTCATATCATTTCACTTGTCTACCTTCAACTTCACCACCCCTGCATTGGCCGAGAACATTCATCCAGATTTTCCGGTGTGGTTTCCCCTTGTCAGTGGCGCAGGACGGGGGGAGGGGGGGGAGTGCTGACAAGGACAGCTGTCTAGTCGTTCGGATGGGACGAAAAACCGAGGTGCCGTGTACAAATTGGCGTGCACGTAAAAGATCCCCTGGCAGTTGGAATTCGATATAAGAGTAGGCTGTAGCGCCGCTGTCTGGGCACAATTTCCCTCATATCACACTGTATGACGTATGCCGTCTTCATTAGCTCAGTTAAGGAGCAAAACAGTAGCACGTTAAACCCCATTTCATTTCATTGTTTTTCCTGATCAAACTTGTTCAATTTGTTTTATCTGAAATAGAGAAAAAATATTTCTAAACGTTCGAAACGAAATCAAGATTAATGTCCTACTGTTCTGTTCCGACTGGGCTAATTAAAATGGGCATATGTCATACGGTGTGCTA